TGATTTACGGCTATTGAGGTATTTCAACATTTTTCCACAATCGCCAATACGAAGTTTGACAATTTTTAGGAATAAAAAAATACTTTCAAGGCGAAATTTCCAAAATATGGCGCTCGGAACAAAAACACCGTATATTTTTCGAATTAGCACGTCGCATTTTTCCCACCTCCAGAAGCTATTTTCGGGTTCATTTTTTCGAAAATTTATACCCTTTTTCTAGAATCGCCAATATCAAATATGGCAATTTTTAGGATTCCAGTAGATATTCGCTTCGCAGGGTACTTAGGACTACTTAGAATCTTCCCAACAAGGTTGCACAGTTGGAAGGGTTGGACCTTGAATATATAGGAGCATATTTATTGGATACAACTCTGTACCGACGGGATACTTTCTCGGCCTCTGTGAGGAACGCATCGGAACTATTTACAGCCTATCGCTTCTGGTGAAACGGGCTCCTGTTAAACGTGGTCCTAAATTTGGAGTTCTGAAGTTCAAGACCTGTACATTCACTCCCGGCTATTTCTTAAGGAGGTAAAGCTTACAAGTCTGATTTCCCTAGATCGAATTGGCTAGCCGTGTATAGATGTATAATATAGATTCGAGTTTGTTGATGTGTTAACCGGGATAGTAACTCTGCGTAGTTTAGGGGTTCGTCTGGATGATAGGTAAACGCTTTTGTATTGGCCTTTATAACAACAGTAAGATAGTCTCTTTGGATGTTTTGCGCAAGCAAGAATTAATTAGTGAATTTCAACGTAGGCAAGAACTTGGTGCCTCGATACCTGAGTTGTTTGAGAAAGGATTGCTCCTAACTCGATCCTGGAAATTCGAAGAGCACCAAACAACAAACAAAGAAGGAATCAAACATGTTTTAAACTGATTTTGAAGGATTTGTCTCATATATGGGACAAAGGGATCCAGGATGATAAAATTTCTCCGGTGGAAGTTACAACTGTACACTTTGTTCGAATTCCTTTTATTGATTGTTCTGCAAGTCGGAAAACCTTCGGTAGTAAGAAGGAGCAATTATTTGTTCTGGCAAAGCCGGGAGTCGACATATGCGTATCTGTGGATATAGTGCGTAATAGTTGCGGACTATTCATGCTTATGGGAGTCTATTACTATTAGAAATTTGTTTGTTTAGCTTCGTCAGTGTACCATAATGATGATCCACGGCGTCGTTTAATGGTTGCGAGGGTCTTACGCGTGTATAGCAGTTAGTTTTTGGGCGGTCGTAGACGCAGAATGTGGTTTCGCTAAGACAACAGTTGTAAATTTATAGGGTGTTTACTTAGGTTTTATGTGTAGACAAAGCGGGCCACAATTATGGGAGCAAACTTGGCGGATCCTGCGACAATCTAGATCTAACATTTTTCTCGCGCGTCTGATTGGTCTTGAGTGACCGTCCTCCGATTTGTGCCGAAGATACCTGGCGAGGGTGCGAGCTTTCACGCACCGTTTTCCTCATTAATTATAGAGCGGGAAAAGCGAGTCGTGCAACCGGCAAACCTCAATTACACCATTCCTGTAATTCCGTCGGCGATCGGTGACGGTCTTTGTCTCATTCCTCATAATTGTATTAGTCAGGATCAGTCTGTCGTTTCCCTAGTGGCGCATCGCTCACCGTCTCCGCTGACCCCCTGGTCGCTTCGAATACAGATCACGCAACTTTGAACATCAATTAGTCGCACCCCGATATTAATATCACCTCGGATAGGTGCTGCCCCGGCCGGGAGGCCACATCCGTCGAATGCCCTTATTTGGCGTTTAAGTGGTTGCCTAATAAACTGGAAATCCGGCAACCAGCTACACACAGGTGTTTAATTGGTGAGCGGTGACTGGTGTTCCGCTCTATAATAGAACAGCAGTCACGCTCCGACAGGAGGCAGAGGTTAATTCTTAAAAATAGCGGTTTTGTTACATCATTTGCATTCTGTAAGTGGGACGGAGGTGGTGAAAAATTCCTAGTTTAGCTTTTAGCGACAGATTGAAGACAATTCGGTTGTAAATAGTCACTAAAGTGACAGACTGATGGACGGGAAAGCTGAAAAACGGATATATGGGACGTCAAAAATTCTCTTCGTTATAACATCTGGTCTTGGCCCAGACGTCGGGCGTGGTTTTGTTTTCATTTGAAACTTTTGTTAAATTCTCATGTTGATGGTTTGAAAGAGGTGTGAGTGTCGGCTGCTTAACGCACCGGCAAATGTTTCTTTTTTGTTAGTTTTTTCTTGGTAAATTTAAAACAAGCTGACAATTTTTCGCCCGAAACTGAATGAATTATCGACGTTTGATGTAATTTTGCACAACAGACGAAGGCCGACTTCCCGATGGAAAAACAATCAGTGTAACGGAAAATTGACTAAAACTGCTAATTAGATTTATAAATGAAGGCCGTAATGGTTGAAACTTTACAAAGGGAAAATTAATTACCCTTAATCCAATTTGCGACCAATTTTCAATTTTGTTCACAAGCGACCATCGAATACCAAACGGAAGTGTTGAGATTTTTCACGTTCTTCCATCTTTATTCATCGCGATGTACGTATAAATATTTCACTCGTGACAAACCCTCGACGCTTTTCTTTTTTAATTGCACTAGTAAAATATACAAGCAAGTCGCATTACGAGCCTGCCACTCTATTGTCGGGTACAGATTTCAGATCTGTCAAGGCAGATTTTAATTATATTTATTTTCACTCTCACCCCACTACAAATTATTTATGCAGAGTGTCCCAACGAACGATACGAAAACGTGAGCCGACGATTTTAATATTTCAGAAATATCGCAATACGGTTTCTCTGGTTTGTAATTCAGAGTCGGCTTTTTATTTTAAAAATAAATATCTGACGTCTTTGAAAAATTCCTGCGGTGTGCACCTTTAGATGAAGACTTTGCAGACACTTCAAACACCAACTTCTATATAGTTACACTCACTTTACAAGAAATGCGAGGTTATTAGTTACGGGAAGTGGCAAGCAACATTATGCATAGCATTTTGACTTTAATTAGTTTGTTACAACAAAGGCATTTTGTTGGGATGGCGCTGTGGGAATTATTAATGAGTGTTTCGTATCAATGCAAGACTAAACAAAGGAGCAAATTTCGCGTGTAGACCCCGACTTTATCAATTGGACTTATTTAAATGCACGTGGAATTTCGTGCTTAAGAATAAATGAACGCCATTAATCAAACACAATACACTCCGAATAAGTTGTTAACTTAATTGTAACCACTATTCAGCTATAAATCAGTACAAAAGCACCGCTTTCGTGTTATTCTTATCAAAACCACACTCAAAAACCAACGAAATCACAATCTGCATCGGCATTTTCTCAAAAATCCCACTTTAAGATCAAACCCTCGATATTTCTATTTGTAATCCCTTTTGAACGAGTTGCGGAGGCGCCTATCCAGATCCCAAGCGGCCTCCTTCCGTTTCACGTATCAAGTTCCGACCTTGCATACTTACTCAGGTCCGGACTCGACAAACCACTAAAATTTTAAACAACCACAAATTTGCCTAGAATATTTTATCGCAAACACTTAACCCAGACGGTTATTTATTTCAATCAATAAATTGTCTGCTCGCTGATGCTCTACTTAAAACATCCGCCTCTTCCAGACGGGATACTTAATTTTTAAACACGTTCCAAGCTCGCAAAACTTCGAAATATTAAGACAGACTGTGAAATCCGACAAAATAACAGATTCAATAAATAAAGCTTCACCAACCAGAGATGACAATCTACATTCAAGGAGAACATCGCCCTAAAATAAATCTGCTTCCTATCTGCGAGATCCTAATGGAAATAATCGGTACTCGGTACGTGCTTTGCGGTATACCACCTATTAGTTATTCCGTGTTGCACTTCCTAGACTAGCGGCATCGCTTTAACATCGACTATGCGCTATTTCTACCGTCGTTATCTGTCTCACGTGCACGTTTATAAAAATAGGACTGCAAATGTATTAGCTAACCCAAACTTAAGAACGATAGCGTGACCAAAAACTGGTGCCCGAGTCCGACCGGAGACTCCAAGGAATGTTCGTATCACGAAATATTGTACATTAGCTGGATGTTGTGTCGATCGAAGCGCATAGCCTGAGTGAAAACTGGTGCCCGAGTCAAACGGACTAACATATTTTTAGTTTGAATTAATTTCGGTGAAATAACGTTAAAAGGGCATTAGTTTGTATCGCAGTTTGCATAAGTCGACATCCTTCCACTATTTGATTAAAGTGAAAAGAGCAAGAGCAAACACCAATTTGCGATCAAGACGCAGAAGTTTCCAGACTTCGGTTAAGACAAGTTTTTATAATCCATTTTTGGATTTTTTGTGCGACGCAGAGGAGATACTTGACGAAATAGGAGAAGTAATAAGACAATGTGAGGCTCGAGTAGGTATTAGAAGAGGCTGCGAGATGCAAAGTTGTGGCCCTTCATACTTATCCTACAAACAATTACCTTCTGTGCTCCGTGTGTCTACTCGAGAACGTGAATAAAGTGAAACCGCGTTAATATAGGGTAAGTTTTCTGTCTGTGGTGTTGCCGCTTGAATTAATTTTGAGAAAATAGTTGTAAGTTCTTTGTTTTAGTTAGTACGGGACGACTGTTGACCTTTGTGTTGAAACTAAGCGGGCAATATGAAAACTTTTTCTCCACTTTGTTTTCAATTAATTATGGAAGTTGACGCTGAACACATTCGCGCGTTTTGAAATAACCGAAACGCGGTAGAAGTTGTTGATGACGCGGACGCGAACGAAAAAAGTAATTAAATGAAAGAAAATTTTAATGATGTACCAAACCGGTTTCGAGGGTAAGTCCGGTGGCGTTCTTTTGATGTAACGAAAGGTACAACCGACTTTGTGAGAGAATATATTTAATAGAAATGCTGAATAGCCGTCGGCCTGTGGTGAATTTAAATAGTTTTGAGTGTGTGTTTGCTAAGTAGGCATGATTTATGCGAATGCGAATTCAAAATTAATTTGGGCTTACCTTTTCTATTTGTTCATCTGATTGCGAAACGATGTTTTAGCAATCCACTTATCTTCCACGCAGTTATGGATTCAGATGAAGCTGCGTTTCGAGCGTAGGCTTTGTTTCTGTTCACCTGAAACAAGCGGTATATTTGAGGTAGTCCTTTATTTGTGGGGTAGCCTGGTCGTTTCTGTTTTGATTTAGTGTGATCGCGGTTTGACGGTCGGAAAGCGTTTCGCACGGCTGCAACTTTTGCAGGAAAAGGAGGTTAAACACAGACCTAAATGATAACAACATAACTTAATAACGGACCGTTCGATGAGTTTAGGCAACGTTAATAAGTTTACAGAGCGCCATTAAACTTGTAAATGAAGCTCCATCGGGATGCTGGGATAGTTACCGACAACACAATCATACGCGTAACGCGATTTTCGGATTACTCATTCGGTGCGAGTTGCATTCTATTACGTCTAGTTTTGCGACCTGTAATCCGCGTTTTCTGCATTCTTCTCCCTTTTCGGCTTCCTTGTCAATGCAATCATCTCTCACTACGAGCTCGTAATTTAGCGTGACCCTACCCATAAACACAAACGATCTCTCTTTATATTTTTTACAGTTTATTTTCACCCTAGCGTCATTTTTATGTTTTATGTACACGCACGACGTGTCCATATTTCTTGCGTTATGGAGTGGGACTTAACACATAACGAAAATATGGATGCAACACCGTACACCGCCGCCACCTCCCCAACTTTCAAAAAACAAACACATCCTTTATTTATATTCCTAATGCTACCGCCGAACCCCAGCCTTATCCTCGCATTCAATACAAAATTCTTAAAAGGGATGTGAAAATAATATTTATCGAATTTCCGCACAGCGCGGCGCCAAACACACAATCTACGACATCTCTCTGACAACCGTCTAGACCCCTTTCACATGCCGCTGCATTTAAAAAAGCAAACTTAACGCGTTTTCGCACTGTCAATAGTATCAGTATCATAATCTTCCACTATTCGTAAATAAGGACGGGTCCGGCAGCGGACCCCTGCGAGGCGGAATTGACTGCGCGGTCGAGCTCGTTCTACTAGGCTTCCTTGTTTTGATTTTAGCCCGACAAATATAGAAATTTCTGCGTGGATGCACCGCCGGGTCCGTTGATGCGGATGGTTTGTAATTTCCAATCCTGCGAAAAATAGTTTTGTTCATCAGGCGGCATCGATGTTTCGGGCGAACGTGTTCCGGTGTGACAAAGCTCGCACGCCTTTTCAGTAAAAGTGTTGTGGAAAATGTTGGTGGGGAAATAAAACTCGATTCAACAGTGAATTTCCAATAAAACGCGAACGGTTAACCCAACAAAAGCACTTTGCAATTTTGCGCCGTTGTTGAATTATTGCAGTTGTAACCTATCACAGAGAGTGCACAAGAATCGAACAATTTACACTCATTTGAACTGATTGATTCGACCGTATGAATTATTCGGGTCTGTCGCAACGCCATCATTGATTAAGTAAGTTGTATTTTAAATCGTAGCGCGAGTTTTGTTTGTTGAATTGTTGAGTACGAATTTCTCCCGAAATTATCGATTTGGCCAATATTTGTCTCGATCTGCATGCAATTTGCTGTGAAATTTGTTCAATTATACACTTTTCTGTTTACTTTGAACATTTTGTTCTGTTTTATTCGCGAATCAATTCTAAAATGCAAAATCTGCGTTAAGGAGCATAGTCAACGCTAAAATAATATTCTGCGACTGAGGCAATCAAAGGAAAATATTCCTACGCGATTAACCTAATCCTGTAAATACCAATATCGGGATAATTAAATTCGCATCTTTCGAATTAAAAAATGTAATTATCCTCAAAGGATCTGTCGTTAATCTGTTTTCAGGCAAATCACTCTGAAAAATTATTTCTGATTAAAACAATGTGGGCACATTCTGACCGACACCGCCAAATGTGTACGGATATGTACAACGACTCAAAAAAAATAATGACCTGCCGTTAGCATTGACCACCGCAACCAACAACTCCGACAGATCGATTACAAACACAAAAGCGTGAAAGCTCGTCAGGGAGGTTATTATGATTACAGCTTATCCTCTTATCACCAGAGACAATCCGGACAACATGAGGTATCAACTAATTAGGAAACTTTACTACGATAGCGATTACATGACCCTGAATACACAAAAACGACGTCACGGAATGAAGATAAAACGACGAAATAAAAAATATAATAGCGGCAGAGGCTGCACAAACAAAGACAAAAGGTGCGCCCGGAAAACTTCCAACTATAAAACTTCGCATAGTCTATCTCAAATATTTGACAAAATATGCATTTAAAACTTATTCTGAGAGCACACGTGAACGAACTAAATCGGCAATCTGATGCAGCTAAAACAAAAAAGACGTTGTACAGACCAAACCAAAAGCGTTATTTTAACGATTTAATTCGTAATTCTGATTAAACAGTTCACACCCTCGCAAACTGAGGTAAACGAAGCGATTTTATACAAACTGTGACCTGATTTTGTTCAAATTTCACTTTACCCATTACATACGTGTAATGTAATTTCAATTTTGTGTTGACACGTTTAACTCGGTGGCGCCCTGTAGATCTTTAAACTGAGCGACCTCGCCCCACTGACGCAGAATTAGTATACTTTACGTGGCGCTTAGATCCGTCAAACTGGCAGGGTGAAGTTCGTTGTCATGGACGTCGACCTCTAGCATTTTTTCGTGGTTCCACCTGAGCATGCTGACATCAGAAAAAATGGTTGCGTCTAGATTACACGAAGCTAATGGATGGCTTTCGTCACCCATTCTTAACTTGGTAAACTGCTCCAAAAACGCTCCCCATACATCAAAACTTAAAGATCACAGATAAAAAAATGTCGTTAATCCGAAGTTCCATGCCAGTTAAACAAAACTAAACGTAAATCACGAGATGCGAAACGTAAAATTCGGAAAAAATATTCTCGGAAAGTTGCGTTCTTTTTAAATGTGGGGTGAGCTTTTCTTGAGTTATGACCGGCTTATAAATATCTATTAAAACTTTCCGCAACTTTCTCTACACCAGAAAATTAAGAAAAATACTCAAATAAAAATGGGTGTAATAGCGGCTTGTTGGAATATGTCGGGGTATCGATTTTCGAATAGTTTGGCTATAATAACATAGAAATTCTTGCAAACCGATTGGCCAAACATAGGTCAGATATTAAATTTAGAAGTTGTGTTCGAGCTTGTGAACTTGGGTCTTAAATACTTTCTAAACGGGGGCAAATCCCAAAGGTCAGATTGTTGTAGGGAATTCTTATTTGTTTCTTTGACGAGGGTTCTAAATGCTTTATTGCGTTAAAAACTATCAGTTCGCACGTAAATTTAATATTTTCGTGTCCGACGGGAAATTAATTACGTAATTAATGGGATTTTATTAACCTTTTTTGACGCTTTCGTGATAAATGACGCTAACAAGGTGACTTTATTGTTCGGTACTCAATTATTTTTCCATTGTTTAAATGAGTTCCGTCGTTATTAGTACAGCCGTTATTAAAAAGAAAATAATTAATTTTTCACTTTTACTAATAAATATCGTTTTGAACGCTTTGTGAAGTACTTCAGGGCAAATATTAAAATTAATGAATTTTGTTGCTTTGTGATCATCTACTTTACCAATTAAATACAAAATAATGGAAATTTCGTACAACGACCCGACATCAAGGCTTTTTCGTCTTCCTAGCACAAAGTGTTTACTTTTATAGAGGAATTACAAAACGTCTGGTAGATGGCGCTTCAGCTAAATAACATTTCCATTCGCACGACATAATAATCTGATGTCACGGAACGAAGACATGAAGATGCAATATTTACTTCATTTGTTCACTTTATGGCTGAACATTGCACACCTTGTTTCTCTGTTGATATGACGGTAAGGTAAATTTTTAGATAGGCCGGTCGTAAATAGAAAATGTCGGGAAGCGAATATGAATATCTTGACACATTATAGACACCGAATTTAAGTTCCTCAAGGAGGCGAGGAACGTCGCAGATTTATGTTTTTTATTTAAATTTCGGCGACACTCACTTATCTAATTTATTCCATAAAACGCAAAAGTGTGTTCTTTCCTTTTTTTGTGGTTTACGTGTAATCAACGTGAAAACAAATTAAAACATAAATAATTATAATGGATGCTGAAAAAGCGAAAATCCCATTATCCTTTATAAAACGAAAAGTGAAACATGCCTGGAAAAATACATTAAATCAAATAACGAAAAACGGGAATACTAAAGAAACGTCTAACTTTATTTTGTAACTAAATCCGGTTGATACGTTTCCTGCATGTTATCGAAATTGTAAAATCCGTTCGTATGAGCTCCGATCGTTGAGGGAGAATCCCTCAAACTAAACAATATCATGGACAATGAAAACAAAGTAAACATACTTAGAATATGTAAATTTTAAAAAATAACACTGGATGAATGTCTCATTTCCAGAAATTGAAATGGAGTCAACTTTCACCAACGACTCTACTCAAAACATTTAAAAACGGGATGTATTATTCTGAATAAATTTAGTTTATAGCCCGAGCCCTGGTTGTACTTCTTTAAGCTCTCATTAGACACAGCAGAACGAGAATAATGGAAAACCAGCCGTAAGTCTAATGCTTCATAAAAGGACAGCAACGGGCAGCGCTTCCTTGGAGCCAGTTTTGGCTAAACATCACTTTCTGGTGCCTAGTTCTCTCAAATTATACGCTCGACGAACGGGTGAATTCTCAACTCCCAACTTCCCCTGTACGAATACCGGTTTATGATAAACCACACAATGATACATTACCGAGAGACCACTTTCTAGTGTATTTAATAATTTATTGTGGTGGCAAACGTGGGAGGCGTGGGTTCGAATCCCACTCCCGGCATTTTTCTACATTGGTTACCACAGGCAGAACACGCGCGCGCTACACTCGGCAACGAGCGTAAGACAGACAAACAGACGACAGACAGACGGAAGCGAATTTAGCATTTGATTCTACACTGTGAAACAGTTGTTATCAAACCTTTTTATATTTAACCAATAACGCGTTAAAAAGAATCCATAATTTGAATTAAAACCGCGGTTGAAAAGCATATT